AAAAAAGAGTAGCCGCGGAGAAAAAAGACAACATAAGAATGATTTTCCGGTAGATCTCTAGTACTTGTTTTCTAGTATATCTCTGGCCAAACTAGGTTTTGATCCTATTTCAGATAGATCTAGGTCGTGAGATCAAGATTCAGAGGCTAAACAGGCAGCGGGGTAGAAGGACCGTTTTTCAGATGGGTCGAATCAAGACAGAATCAAGTAATAAGAAATTGACATATTCAACGATACAGGAATGAATATAGTGAAGATGAATTTGGTTCTGATACCATGTAAAGGGTCTAATGTTTCTCTGAAGAGATTCAGTGTCCATTGATCAATATGAATATACAAGCTTGTCTTATATTGACAAATACATATGACAATAATAGAAAGTAAATCACATATGCCAAAACTATACTCAGAGTTACCATAAAATATAGATATTGTACCTATATACTGATTGCAATATATACTTTCCATATTAACCTGGTACTTTTCATATACTTTTCATATATTTCATAAAGATGGAGGAGGGGAGAGAAGGTTTTGTGGTGGATACCTACAAATCTTTGATGTATGGCCATACTTTTTACAAAGAAAACATTGCACTCTCAAATAATCTTGTGAAGATGGCCACACAGACCTACCATTAACCATCATAGGTTGAGGTGGTGGCTTGTTCTTAGCATTTGGGCTTCCTTGGATAGCTTGATTCCACTTTGATTGTAGGGCCTAAAAAAGTAGTTGCTAAGTTGTTGTGGTGGTAGGTAAGGAGGCACTTCAAAACGCTTTCCCCTAGTATTCATATTCCCTCTCCCACGTGCATTTTGCCTTTTCCCTTCCCTTTCTTATTATTGTTATTAATTGTGATCCTACCAACCCCCGGATTGCATACATTCACATTAGCATTAGGGAGAAAAAAAGAGAAAGGGAGAGAAGGGTTTATCAAATGGACTGAGCTCCGAGGTCCACCCATAGACTTTCCTCTTTGCTCTTTGGCCTCCATGAAATGGGTGATCTCATCTAAGGACACTAAAGTGTCCCTTGCCACGAGGTTGGCCACGAACCCTTCCCATATGGGTGAGATAGAACTGATGAACATGGTGGTGAGTGTTTCTTCCCAATAAAATTGTACTCATATACACATTAAATGCTTATTGAATGCTCAGAATATTTCAAAGAAACCTCAGAGAATTAGGTGATAAAAATCAAGTAGAAGATTGCATCTAGGTGCAAGTGTTGTACTAGACTATGCACATATGATGTTTTGCATATATAGTTTCACAAAGGGCTTAGAATTAATGAATACTCAAGCATATAAGCATAAAATGGCCATGTAAAATGGAATTTACAGCCAGAATAAGAAGAGTGAATTACTCTAAGAACAAAAGGAATGGAGTTATGGAAGATTAAAAGATGAGATTTCACACCCTATCACTCCTTTAAAACCCTTAGACTGGATATTTTACCAAATTGTCTTTTGTAGAGAAAATTTTTCATGTATGCCATTTCTCATTTGCAAAACTGCGCATGGTGATTTTTAAAATTAAAGAAAGAATGGAAGTATAAGGACATGTCCCTTGTATAATTTATAAAATATCTTGCTTTCATTCAATGTGATAAAGCTATTTCACGAAATTCACATAGTTTAAGCCAATGAGGTGATTCTACACGAAAAGCTACTTTAATAAATCACATTGTCCTATGGATTCGGCTTGAAGCCAAATTTCGTGGCATTCCCAAAGCCCTAGGCACACGTGAATAAGATCATATGTGTGTCAAAACCACATGTGACTAATAAGTCACTTAAGTTATAGAATATTTTTCTCATATTTAAAACATTAGAACTTAAATGACCAATTCAATGAATTACAAATAAGGACCATATGGGTTTGATGTCATGATCACATCTGCCCTAGGTATGGCCATGGGGGTGACGCATGTCATCTCTATGGGCACTGGGTGGCACATGGGGCCCCTACTAAGTGCCTTTAAATGGATTTTTCATGCTGCGAATTTTTTTAAAAAAGTCCCAAAAATTTATCAAAAAATCACATAAATCATTTTCTATCATCAAGAAGTGCCAACTGCCAAATACCACCACCTCCATAGGCAAAAACCCAGTAAGGAGTAGTGACTGCAACAATCCCGGCCTTGATAGCTGGAAATGCACCTATTAACCTAGATGTTATCTAAGCTATGGAAGGGCTAAGGAACCTACAACTGCCTAGATGTTATCTAAGCTATGATAATGGAAGGGCCAAGGAACCTACAACTCCTTGGGATGCGGATGTCAGAAACCTATCAAAAACCTTACCTGGCTTAAATGGATGATACTCCATTTCAACCGAATTATAAGCGGATCAGAATTCCTCAATTTAATAGATTAGCTCTCCCCGCATCACATTGCCCATTATCTGTCAGCTTGCACTAACCTCTGACATGAGCATTTGTTGATTTGTTGATTTTTTGAAACCCTGATGAGGTTGTATTGAAGTCCTCCACTACATTATAGAGGAAACAACTCAAGGAAGCCTTCTGCACACAGTTCTACAAGAACAAGCAGGGTGTGCTCCTGGACGAATTAACGGATAGAAAGCAAAGACTATGAAGATGACATCTCCTTTTAAGCAACTGGGCAACTCCACCTATAAATATTGAGAGCATCCTCCCTCGTCCATGCTCGTTTCAAATGGGGGAATCTTTAGCAAGCCTCTCCAAAACAAGAGAGAGAGTTACCTTAAGTGTTAAGGAAGATTGTTGGCCTCTTAAGGACATCATCAATGCTATGCTAAAAATATGAGAAGATTACCTTTGGTGTTTTTTTATCTCCTAAAATTAGTACGCCGTAAGACACCAATTTTGAAAAAGAGCAATCTCCTAAAATTAGTGTGTGGTACGAGAGAGAGAGAGTACCCATAAGAGGAGAGAGTTTTCAACCTCATAAATTATTGCGTACTAAAAATAAAAGGCTGTTTTAGAAACTATCTATATCATTTTAGGAGATTTGGATGGATTTGCTTATTTACCTCTTTTAGAAAAGATAAAGTGTAAATTTGAGAAGCTAAATATGTACTTATTAAATAAAAGAAACTAAATAGGTAACATAGAAAAATACATGGGAATTGAGAGATTTTAGGAGATGAGGGTAGAGAGAGATATTTTAAGAGAGGCTCACGTGGGGAAGATGGGGTATGAGAGAGAGAGTGAGAGAGAGAGAAATCCTAAATTTTAGAAATTATCTCTTTTGAAAAAGATAAATTTCAAATTTGAAAAATTGAATATATAGTATAGAAATATATATGGGGATTGAGAGATTTTAGGTAACGAGGGTAGAGAAGAAGAGAGCTCACGTGAGGGGAGATAGGGGGCATGAGAGAAAGATCTCAAATTTTAGATATTCTCAACCTATAATATAGAATATATGGAAATAAAGAGATTTTAGAAGATGAGGGTAGAGATAAAGAGATTTTAAAATAGGCTCCCTTGGGAGAAGATTGGGAAACGAGAGAAGGAGAGGAGAGGAGGGGAGGGAGGGATCAATGAGAGCATGAGAGGGGAAGGACGAGGGCATCATACAAAGAGAGAGAGGGTGTAGGAGAGGAGGATGAGAGAGAGAGGTGTCGTGAGGGAAGCATGAGATAGAGTTCGTGAGTGGTGGCATAAGAGTGATAGAGACCGTGATGGGGCATGAGAGAGATTTGAGAAGAGAGAATTTTTGCATTATGAATATTTTTTAAAAAATTTAGTTTATTAAATTTATATGTTAAGACCAAATTTTTATTAATGCTTATACATGAATCTTCTCACTTATATAAAGTGTGACAAGATTAAAATTTATTTTAATAGTATATTGCTTTATAATCTTTTTATTTAGTTTAAATCGTGTCTGTAGTTGAACCCCACTTAATATTACACTTTTGACCTTTAAAGTGCACAGATTAAACAATTAGCATTTTCTACTTTTTTGTGATTTAAATTCTAAAAAGAATCGTCATTTATTTGAAATGCTCCTGACTTTCAATATTTATTGGTTAGTATTTTAATAATTATTTATTACCACTATCCAGTATTGGAAAATATAAGTTGTCTTAACCCAAAATAAATAAGCAATAAAATGAACATGTCATTTATCTAATGAAATTATATCTTCTTTTTTTTTCATGTCTCTCCTTACATTTATATTTAAAATATATTAATGATTTCTTTTATCTTATGAATATGTTTGTAATTTTTTCTCTTACATTTATATGTGCAACGTATATAAATCTACCGGTGCATCTGAGACAAGTTTTTATGTACATTTGACGTTATTTAGGCTCCTCAGACCCTTAGAAATACCATTGCCACACAGGCCCAACTATCCAATATTCATTGACAAAAAACGGTGAGAGTACAATTTGTCACAAAAGGGTTTCAATTGTAATGTATGATTGATTCTTTATAAATATCTAGTAATGTATTATTGATTCTTTATAAATATCTAGTAGTCTTCTTTCTGGGTAATAATCAAATTTGAGATTAGTGTTGCTAGTGTCAACTAGTACCCACTCAAGTCCTATCCCAATTCCTATCTAAGAAGCAATTTTTTCCAACCTCTTCATTCACAAGAAGACCTACAAGATTCAAAAAAAGAAAAGGCCCCATAAAGGACAGCTTAATTAGGGAGGATTGACAGGTTCAAACGAGGAAGTCTGTCCTTTAAATCAAGCAAAACAATTTTTTTACAATATTAAGTAACAATAATACATTAATTGTTCGGTCTAAACCACTAATCTGATACAAAAACAAAGAAGATGTTTGGAATGTCCCAATAAGTTACAAATTAACCTTTTAATCCTTGCTATCATTAACAGCCTCTAATCGCACAAAAAGTGGCGAAGAAGTCTCTTAAAAAGACATTTAATGGCTACAACATTGATAATTCAGCATCATCCATACCTGAAAAAAGACACTTGATGATCAATAAAGGAAAAAAAATGATAATGAAACGAAGAGAATCATTGTTCTTTTCCTAAATGCTGTGGACAATTGCATTTCTTCGTTTCTCTTCATTCCAGATGTGTGCCCATCTATTAATATTCTCCCAAAAAAATGCAATTGTCGATGCAGTTAGGGTTTATTGTTCTGATGTGATTAGGTATGTTTTGTAAGTGGTAAATAGGGTTAGTTTGTGAGAAATATTAGGTGCAATTAAATTGTTTAGTATTGTAGAGATTTTTAAAAAACAATATTGGGTGCAATTAGGTTATTTTAGGGTTTCTTTTATAAAGTGTAAATATATAAATACTCCAAAGAAGAAAGATTGGGCTATATTGTGTGAGGCCCGTGCTGAGACGGGTGACCTCTCTTGCAGGCTCAGAGAGCATACTACCTCAACCTTCTTTTATTTCTCTGCGTCCTTGCTTTCTTCCTCATGCATCTAAAAAAACAAATTAAACAAGAAGGCATGAAGATGAAAAAAATAGCATGTATTCTCACCAGAATCCTTGACAAGATCCATCCTCATCATATAGAAACACCATACACTACTGGATCTCCGTTTAGCTGTTCCAATATCACATCAATAGGTCTCCAATAACAGTTAAACTGCAAACACCAGAACTCTAGTATGAGCAACTAATAAGTTCGATTATCTAATATAGTAGACATCTTCGTCCATGCCACTGGTACTTTCATACATATGTAATTGCATGAATGTCAGCGCCATCTCCATGAATGTTGGTCAATGCTTGCATCAGAGAGAGAGAGAGAGAGAGAGCATGGATCTCCTTGTAGGAGGGATGAAATTATTTTTTTTGGGGCCGTTTGTTTCTAATGGTACATGCACGACTATATATATGTTAATTCTACACACCCATCTACAAGTGCAAATGCACAAACACAACCTGACCTTTCTAAGAAAAAAGGAAATCCATATGCATAGCATAAAGAAGAGCAGTTTTCCCACAAATTGTTCAGCTAATCTAGTTGGGAAATGCCTTGATCAAAATTTAATTATCAATACAGTGGAACCAAATTCTATTATCTCAATAACCAATATGCGTTATTTTGAACTTTATAAGCAAAAGATACCTCATTCACAAGTTCTTCAAATTTTCTACCAAGTTTCTCTAGCAATGCCTCTCCAGATTTTCTTACTTCACTAATATTCAACATGTCATTATTTGCCTGAAAATTTGGATCAGAAACCATAAGAAATACAAAGGCGAAAATGGCTGGGCATCAAGCGTATGTTTATGGCATGAGTTTTGGAAATGGTAGTACCTCTACCATTGTGGCTTGTAAGTTTTTTTCCATCAATTCGAGCTCGTGCAACTTGGCTCCCATCTCTGACTTGATGGCACTAAGCATTCTATCAGCCTCGGCACATTTCAATGCTTTCTCTTGCTCCACTGCCAGTGTCAACTTATCTGCTTGTTCCACTGCAAATGGAAATCCACTACAATACATGTACACATTTGAAAGCAGGTGAGGAAAATGGTATAATTTTTTTTCAAACTCTACCTTTCCCTTGAAGTTCAACACTTTTTGCTTCAAGAACCAAGTCCTCGAGCTCTGCATCCTTTAGTTTAACTTGAAGTGTTTTTCTTTGTTTCTCAACATGTTTGATAGATTCCACCTAATAAGTTTTGACGTATTAGAAGATATTAAAATTTCAAAGTCCTGACCTCACACTAGAGAGGCTCACCATCCCACTTTTGCCACCGCAGAGCAGGATATATACTCTAAACTGTGTTTGACTGCTATCGGTTCCTTAATCCATTAAATCCAATCAGTGTGGGGTTTGGACATGCCAGAGTCCCCGAGCCTGAGTCAAATCTAAGAGGCTCAGCGGAGTCAGTCAGAGACGTGGCCAAGTTCCGGGCTTGGCAAGGTGCGGAGCCTGAGTGACAGGCGAGTTCGTGTAGACTCGCCAAGTTTTCCAACATTGAATCCAATAATATGGTAAATTCTACCTCATTATGACACTCTAATAATTAATTGATCTGTTTGTTTTCTTTTCTTATACCTTACCCAAATAATCCTGTGTCACTAGTGAATTATTTAGTTGTGCACATTTAGAATATGAGCTTTCTCCCTCTCTCACACAGATATAATTACTCCATGAATGACACAAATATGAATGTCTCTGTGCGTAGTTTGTGTTTGCATGTGTTGGCATGTGCATGCCTGAAATTATGGGCATCCATAACATCAGAGAGGCATGACCCCATTTGTTTATATCATGAAACTTGCTAAAAAATTTGGCATGAGCACATGCACCCAGTAGTCAATCCATGTCAAGGACTAGGCTCAATCAAACCTGTTCTTGTATAGATCGCATCAAGTCCAAACTCTTCGATAACTTTTTGCAAGCCTGAAATCAAAGCACAATTGGTTTAGGAAAAACTGATTTACAAAAGGGAAAGAAAAACTAAAGTATGCGAAAGGAAAGAATATATTGTATATCCGGTTAATATAAAAGTTGTATATTGTAATCAGTAAATATGAGAAGGGTAGGATATTGTGTCTTGTATTTTATGGTAATGATGGGTATAGTTTAGGTGTCTATGATTTAGTTTCTATTAGTGTCATCTGTAATTTCTGTATAAAAGACAAGTCTATATAGTCATCTCAATTAATGGACATTGAGAATTTTCAGAGAAACTTAAAACTCTTCACATGGTATCAGAGCCAAATTCATCTTAACTATGTCCATTCCTCGTCTCTAAAGCATTGTCACTGATTTTCAAGACGAGTTTGTGAGCAAAAAACTCGACTCTCTGATCTGTCTCTACGTCGAGTCGTGTTTCGACTCTCTAATCTGTCTCTACGCCGATTCGTGTTTCGACTCTCTGATCTGTCTCTACGCCGAGTCGTGTTTCGACTCTCTGATCTATTTGATCTTTTCCAAGAGTTCCTGAAGCCATTTGTTCTTGAGGCTTGTTAATTGGTCACTGCTTTCTGCGCTTGTCGATCAAGCAGTCTGAGTATGCACCTGAAGATCCTACTGCTCGTTTCTGCGACTTGGTGTTCAAACTCCAGTTGCTCTCTTTCATAGCATCTTGAGTTTGAGGGGGAGTGTGAAAGGGAAGTATATATTTTATATCCAATTAATATAGAAGGTGTATATTGTAATCAGTAAATATGAGAAGGGTAGGATATTGTGTCATGTATTTTATGGTAAGTCTGGGTATATTTTAAGTGTCTATGATTTAGTTTCTGTTAGTGTCATTTGTAATTTGTCCATAAAAGATAGGTCTGTATATTTATATTAATTAATGGACACTAAGTCTCTTTAGAGAAACATAAGACTCTTCACAAAGAAGATCAGCTAATCTCTTTGACAAGTCAAATTAATCTCTAGAAAGAAAACTCCAAACTGCATAACACTTTTCCACAGACAAAAATAAGAATTTCTACAATAATTAATTTCTATGTGAAAGAGAAGGTCCACTATTTGGCATTTTTTCTAACAAAATAGGCAAATATAATATAAACTTCCATCAAGGTCCACGATAATATAAAAAACAAAAGCAATTGCATCATTCAAACATACCCTAATTAATTTGGATATTGTATTCTCTAGATTGTACAAGAGAACTGATAATTATTAAGAGCAACAACATACCAAAATGACTGACTCCTAGAATATCATGCTGAAGTGCATGGCTTGGACCTCCAGCATGATAATTTCCAATTTAAAACCTCCTAATCCATGGAGATGTTTTTTGTTTTTTTCCTTTTTCTTTTATTTTTATTTTTTGAGAATAATGTATGAGAATATTTTGTTTTGGACAAGCTTTCTATGCTTCCCCTACAACATAAAACTTATATACTTCCCCTTATCCAACCGACCATTCTAAATGGAGGGCTAAGATTGCCCCAATCACAATGTCACGTATCTACACTATTTTATTTTTAATTTTTTTTATAAACTATTTTGGCACCAATTTTTGGATGTCAAATCCTCTATTAAACTCGCACTAGCAAAAAAGATAAAAAAACATTTTCAATAAAATAAAATTATCAAAATACCCCTGAAAGTTTCAAGGGGTATTTTGGTCACTATTTTTAGTATTTTTTATAGGTGCGCCCCAATGAGAAGATACCACATACCAAATTTCATATTCATACAATTTGTATAAAAAAAACTAGAAATAAATACTTTGAGACGTCGGATCTAAGATCAAACGGTGAGTGGCTATCTTGAACAAAATTGGATGGCTGGATGGTAGGGGAAGCATAGATCTTCTATGCTGTAGGGGAAGTATAAAAACCTTTCGCTTTTGTTTTATCAATTGTACTAATTTGCAGTACGGCCTGTTAAATTTGAGATCAGCATGCACACAAATTTCATAGCCAATCATCAGCATGGCAAAGTCCTCATTCTCACCATTTGCTCCCTATCTGAGCTTAGGCTACAAAGAAGGCAGTTCAACCAAGCTCCTTTAAACCCCTAGAGCTCATTTTACTCCACACATTATGGGTTGTTGAAGTAACAAGCAGCTATATTCATGTTCTTTCACATCATTACAAGCTTGAATATGAATCCCAGAAATGGAGCAGGCCCACATTAACATGAAGGGGCTTTGTTGAGCTATAGCAAACCACAGTAATCTCACCCAGGTGCATCATATATGCATGACGCAGTAATCTCACCAGGTGCATCATATATGCATGACTACAAGGTGCATATGCACTGTGTGAGCCATCTGTATTTTAACATCTTTTACCTGAATAAGATAGATTCTTGGTGCTCCAACAGCAATGACTGAAGTGGTAACACTTTGAGCATACCTATAGCCTTTTACCAATCCAGTATTCTTTTGGGAAGAAGACATTCAAAAAATAAAGTTTCAAAAAAAAGTGCGGTAGACACAATTTAAATTCATATACTAACATCCACTGAAAAAGTTAAAATCCAAGAAGAGATCAATATTCTTTAAAGAAGCTGAATCACCTCTTATTCATGTTCCACGAAAGGTTTTATTGTCAACGTCATATGGCATGGCTTGGTATGGTATGGTATGGTCAAGAGGTATGTCCCAGTATTCATTCTAGGAGAAATCCCATTCATGTAGACAAATGTGAAATGTTATTCCTAAGGGCCCCTTAGTTGCAAATGAAGGAACTAAGGAACCAGCATTGGGAGTCCACTACAAAGGTTGAGAGATTTAGCCCTCACTCTAGGCCTGCAATGGAATCCACCCCAATAACAATGCCTCTTCATGAGTCCCAAAAGAAAACCATTATTCCACTCCACCTTTGTCTTTACAATTGTTCATATACCAAGTAGAGCCCTAAATTCCTAAATACTCTAAAATAATAAAAGGCACCATTGCCCTTTTAATCCCTATGACATTAGACAACCAAAAAAGCCCCAAAATCACACAAAAAATAAAAGACCAAAGTAACCCTGCTGATCCCTAAGTAGTGTCTTACATAACGGATCGGTAGCATGGATCACCCACACACCCATCCCAATCCGGATCAGTTGGATCCATGATGCAATCATCCAGATTAGCTGGATTGGCGATCTAGCAAAAAAAACATGGAAAAAGGTTAAAAGATTATAAAGGTGATATGCTATGAGGGGGTTGAAACCCCAACAAAGTGATAGACGACATTTATTCTAGTCAACTAAGCTATTTGAGCTTAATGGTATGGTATTTAGTTTGTGTACTATAGATTAATGAGAAGCACTGATTTCTAGTAGGAATCAGTACATTATCCACCGTATCCCGATCCAGATTGGCAATTTTTAGAACATTGTTCCTAACAAACAAACTCGGATCTAACAACATCAAATTTTATGGGGAAATGGTCCCAAATTCACGAGTTCCGGAAGCTGCCCTGGGCCCAAGCGAATGGAAGTTCAATTGATAGAATCTTCAAACCCTTTTGGAGCAGTTGTTGATTGTGGACCTGAAAACCCTGGTCACCGGAATTATTGAAGCAAATGCTAATTGAGCTTACAGAAAGGGCTTGAAGTTGGCCTCATATATGTACACTCATTCATTATATATATCATTTGGGAAGTCTTTAGCCACTTCTAAGGCCAATATACAGTACCGTCCACATTTTAGAATACATTCATGATAAAGTTTCACATTGAACATTAAATAAAACTTGCTTGGAGGAACAACTATAGGTTAAGCCTCATTCTACAAAATGATACCGAATCAGATAACCAAATCGGCATTGCGGTAACCCTTTATCAGCATCTTATCGAATAACAAATTTTTCTATAAGATGATCACTTATACATTTGATTCTAAGGAGCATAATATAAGTGTTACCTGTTTGTACAAATTCATAGTAGCCCTCCACCTTTGAAAAGTTTGGATTGCAGAATTTTCACAACTCTTCATTTCAACTCGAACGGATTTCTTTTCCTCTAGTGTTTTCTAAAAAAATGCACCAAGGAATGTATCCATAATGCCAAGTCATATACAATAAATCATAAATATAACGACGAAAAGCATACTTACGTTAATGCAATTTAGAATTCATGTAGACACAGCAATAAAAGACATCATAGCTATTCAAGATCACCCAAAAGGAAGACAACAACCATAAAACTCATGGATAACAAGGATGAACAGCCAATAGAATGGCCAGATACAATAAGCCTTTCTCATAGAAGCAAGAAGCAAGGTAAGTCAGAAATGACGCAGCTGGTATTGTTTGTACCTCGATTGGATTCAGTGGTACTATACCATCGCTCTGGATCTATCAACACCACTGGAACTCTTGTTGAGTCCTCCAGTCGTGCCCTCCAAACCAGGCCATACTTACGCACTATCAAAATTGTATCAGTACAGGATCTTGTTTCGAATGTATGACCGGTTGAGACAATACCCAGCTCCTATCATCTAATTAAAAATCTCAGTACAACTGTTTTACTTCACCATCAATGTTTTTGTATTTAGAGATCACATTTGGAAACAATTGAAAATCATTCGACCGTTGTAGATATTCATGTAGAGGTCTTTCTCCATCCATCTCATCTTCTTTGGAGCCTTTGTTATTTTAGTCTTAATAGAACCGGTTGTCCTGATTCTGAATGATCCATGACTACATCCTGTATATTCTTTGCTTCATCATCGGTCGCCATGAAGTGCAAAAGGTAAGATATTGTTGCTAGGTCTAGTGAAGAGAAAAAAATTCTGTACATGATATTGTATGCATGTCACTTCTCAGCTCCTCTCCATACAATAACAATAATGCTATTTAAGTTGGTTGCAATCTGATCCTTCATAAACGCCCAAAGCATATTGAATTTTACTTACATTTTATGACAGAAGCATTGTTGAGATGGGTGATCACTATTTCACATAATGCTACAGATACCTAAACAGTCAACTTGTTAGCTAAAGTTATAACAAAACTTTGTCTCTTTAGTTTTTTACAATTAAACAGCTCATTGAATTAAAGTGAGCTTAAATCTGGAGCCCAGTCTTATATCCATTATTTGATTTCAGTAAGTGACCCTCCTTTTCTTTATTCATCACCCAAGTTTTTTATTTTTTGATAAAGTTAAACTTTAATTGATGAAGAAAGGGGGAGTAGAATTTAGGCTATCCACAAGGCAGAAGCTCTAAGTACAAAGAGAAAATAAACGAAGAATAAAAAAGCCTTCTTTTTGAAGGTTACATTAACAGCAAAAGCAACCCACAAAAATAAGCTGATCCAAAAATACAATGTTTAGAACCGTCCGAAGTAGCCGCTTCTTTAGCTGGAGTTGAGTTTGAACTTTAGTTGAGTTAATTCATCACCCAAGTTGAGTTTGAAAGGTAGGTGTTAATACATAGCTAGTGTATGTATGTGTACAAATTACATGGTTTTGGTTTTGGTAGCACTATAAATTGCAATTCTAAGTAAATCCATGCTTTAGTCATTTTTTCTTTAGAATTCTAGAGAACAATTTTTTGTTCTTTTTCTCGATATAAATATTATATATGGGTCCCAAGAGAAGTACATAAACAATGCAATACAACCTGCCTTGCCAGCCATCTAATATCTTATAGTGCTACTAGACATCCTGGTTTTGGACGATATTGCGTGTTGACATTCTCAACATTTGGACACATGTTGACACACATGGACACAACAGCAACACATTGTTTGTACTTGTCAACCATGTCTAGCAAACAAACAAGAGTGTTGATACTTTTACTAGATATGCTGCATCATTTGTCCTCCATGTAAGGTAAATTTTTGGGGTACCTCAGTAGGGATTAACTTCCTTACCCATGGTAGAAATGAAACTCAAGATGTCATGTTGTGGAGCCACTCTGAGTACTTAGCCTTGAGCCTATTCCCTCTAAGATTAGCATTCCTTCTTATCATTTATTGCACTTGCCATTTAAATTATTAATATTCAAGGAAATCTGTTGCTATCAGTATTTAATGTCATTCATGGTAATACCATGCACAAAGGAAAGCATGACATTAGTTAACCACATTTAATGACTACACATGTCGATACCATGATGCTTTTTATGTGTGAAGTGTGATAAAAGAAAGATGACACTAGCAGGGTTTGAACCTTCAACCTCTCAACTAAAAATTTATCACTTTATCATCATGCCTTCAACCATATTTTGATCAAGATATGAAAAAATTATATTGGTAGGGAACAAAGGGAGTATTATTTTGGAGAAAAATATAGAGAAAACATTTTTTTAATTTTTCAAATAAAAATAATTTTATAACAGTTTTTATTGATATGAATTTCAATATATACTTACAAACATACACACACACATACATATATGTGTATATATATATATATATTTATATATATATATATGTATATATATTCATCATCATCATCATTTTAGTCTTTTCCCAATTATTTGGGGTCGGCTACAGGAATCCTAGTTCTCTATTATGCTCTATTAAAAGCCATATCCATAAATCCCCATATCTTTTCGGCCTACTTCCAATCACATCTTTTTGGGCCTACACCTTGCCATTTTCAGTCCTTCCTCTTGAACTAATTCGCACCTCCTACAAGGTGTTGTACTTGGTTGGCGCCACACGTGGCCAGCCCACCTAAGTCTAATCTCTTTCATTTTATCGCTTATTGGTGTCACTTCTAAATTCTCTTGACTAGATTCATTGAGAATTCTATCCCTTCTTGTCTTGCCACTCATCCATATCAACATCCTCCTCTCCGCTACACTCATTCTATGGGTAAATTATTTTTTGTCTGTCCAACATTATACCCCATAGAACAAAGTTGATCTCACCGTTGTCCTATAGAACTTGCCCTTCAGCCTCATTGGTATGTGGCGATCACATAAAATTTCAGTTGCAGATCTCCACTTCACCCACCCAGCTATAATTCTATGTGCGTCATCTTTCTCGATCTCTCCATTTTCCTAGATTATCGATCCAAGATATCCAAAGTGTGGTATCTTTTGTACTTTCTAGCCGTCAATCTTAACTACTTCCTCGTCTCTACTCCTATTATTACTAAATTTGCACTCTATATACTCTCTCTTAATCCAACTAAATTTAAAACCTTTGAATTCTAGAGCATGCCCCCAAAGTTATAACTTTGTGTTGGCGTTGTTTCTGGTCTCATCAATCAAAACTATGTCATCTGCAAACAACATGTACCACGGTACCTCATCCTGTAAGTGCCTAGTTAAATCGTCCATAATTAAGGCAAAGAGGTACGGGCTCAATGCTGACCCTTGATATAGACCTGTTGTCACTAAAAACTCACTCGTCTCTCCACTAGTTGTTCGTACAATAGTAACCGCTCCATTGTACATATCTCTTAGCAAGTCGATGTAGTGTCTAGAAACGTCTTTCTTTTCCAACACCCGTCAAATCAAATCTCAAAGTACTCTATCATAAGCTTTCTCTAGATCAATAAAGACCATGTGGAGGTCTTTTCTCTTCGCCCTAAACTTCTCAATCAGTTGCTTAAGTAGGAAATAACATCAATTGTTGACCTTCCTGACATAAAAACAAATTGGTTTTCAGATAAACTCGTTTCATGCTTAAGCATTGCTCAATGACTCTTTCTCAGAGCTTCATAGTATGGCTGATAAGCTTGATCCCTCGATAGTTTGCACAATTCTGTATGTCTTTTTTGTTCTTGTAAATAGGTACCACAATACTTTTTCTCCATTCGTCTAGCATTTTCATTGTTCTCAACACCTTGTTGAAT